TATATAATTCTTCATCCTTAACGAAATTATCAGGTAATGGAAAACCTCAACACCCACCTCCACGTCTGTCCATCGAATTGAAAAAATCATTGCCATCAACTGGAAAGAGAACCTTCTGGTTATTGTTCGACATGGAGATGTGGAGCTTCATGGAAGAATCATGGCGTTTCCTGAGGGACACGCAGCCACCCATTTGGCCAAATCACCCAATCATGCCCAAATCCAGAGAGACCCACAACCCAATTCCAGTGCACAAGCTGTTTCCACTGTGTGATGTCTTAGAGTGAAATTAAAAAAAGAGTAAAGTAGAGAACGATTTGTGGGGTAGCCCTATTTTTCTTTCCAATCTCTCCCTCACACCTCTCTCTCTCTCTCTCTCTCTCAGAGGTGGCGTATCAGGATTTTATTTCCTCGCAGCCTCTCTCTCTCTGGATGCTTATGCTTTGGGGGGTAGAAGCTGAAGAGACAGAACTCCTATGGGGAGACTGACCTTGAAAGCGAAGACATTGTAGATATTTGAGGTGGGCTCCAATTCTAGGGCTAAAATATAGAGAGTTGGCCCTCTCTTGTTGTTGCCATATTCATGTGATTGCAGAGCTGATTCCTGGCATTTCACACAAAGAAAACAAAACTTTGTTTTGGCCCACACTGCTTGCAAGGTTTTCCCTTTAAACTCTCTCTCATAGCTTCTAATTCTCTCTCATATGGCTATTGGTCAATGCATTTAATTCTTTGGGATAAACAGTTTACCTAACAGCCATACAAATTGCAATGGGGTGGCATCACACTGGTGCACTACTGTGGAGGTATAATAGTTTTTTTTTGTTCTTGTCCTCTCTTCAAGGGTAGCGTTGAGATGTAAGTTGGATTGAGTTCAAGGGTATAATAGTAATTTTGACAGGTTGCTTGGACATGCTAGTAGTTTTGAGCCCAAAAGTAGTTGGAGATGTCCCAATTTTGTCGTCTATGATTATTTGGGGAAGTATACACACTGCCTGGGGAGGAAGATGCTTTTGGAAATACTTATTAAATGCAATATAGGGATGGCTTCTTAACAATGGATAGTGTTAAATCATCTATAACTACGATTAATCCACGTTAGGATATAAGAACCTTTTTAGATGCGCAAACAAGAATGCAAAGGTTAGATCCCACCAATATCGTATACTTATCCAGTTAGAAATAAAATAAAAGATAGCACAAGCTAAAATACGAGAAATAAAGTACGAAATACACATACTGTAATAAAACAAAGATTTACGTAGTTCATCCCAAGATGGCTATATCCACATGTACGATACACTGAAATCCACTATATCAATGAAAGTTACATTACATGAAGAGATCATCTCCATTCCACAACTAAACTACTGTCTAGGAGGGTCTCTTCTCCATTCCACTGCTAAACCACTGTCCAGGAGGAGAACCTTAAGAGCAATATAGATTTTCTCTCTATAAAAAGTGACACCACTCAAAATCTTTATGGGAACCGCTTCTCTATAAGAAACCAGTCTCAATCTATAGAAAGTACATTCGAGGCGTTTCTCACCGTAGGAAGTCATTTTTCTCCATAAAAAACTCTCTTCTCTCTAAAGGAGGACTAGCCTCTAGAGCAGAGGAGGCCCAACCTTTCTCTTTAGAGCAAACCACATTTCCTATATGGTGACCCAAATAGGACACACCAATTCTCTTCACTTTCATCCCATATATATATATATAAGGTTAGAAGTCAACACCAAATAAGAAACTTCCTATAGGTGTTACATATATTTCAAGAACCAAGAGATATATCACATAGTCTTAATCTTTTTGGATTTCTATTTCTTTTAGGAAACTTATCAATATCAATCTTAATCCCACGTAATATGAGATTTCTTTATGGGTGATTTTGGATAATCACCATATCCAACAAATCTCTACTATCTGTTATTGATAGCAACAATGTTTTAAAAATCAACAGACCAAAACCGGCTGGTTTCGATCGAGAATCAGTACGATTGGTCTGGTTCTACCAAAGTATCAGGAAACAATTTGATCCATTTGAGAACCGGTCCCACTCTAGCTTTTTAATTTATTTTTTTTGTTTTCTATTTTTTTAAAATTTTTTATTGCCCAGTTTATTCGGTCAGACCACAAATCCGAATTGTGGATCCGACTGGTTTTCTAGATGAGCGATCTGGGTCACCAATCGGTGCTTTTAAACCTTGGATAGCAATGGTGATGACCCACCCGTTTAGTCTTCTCAACTTTTTATTTGGAATATGGTGAAATGTTTCATGGACCCTATTATACCACATGCCATATACTAGTGTTATTATATACACTTGGTATACTCTGCCATTGACATTAGTGTCACTTTTTGATAAAAAAAAAAGGGCTCAGTTTATTTTGGTGTATGAGACACCCCAGTGATGAAGTTGAATCCTAGATCACCTACCCCATGTGAAAGGCAAATATAAGGATATATAATAACTTTTGGCACTTTATTCTTGATTGGGATAATTATAGGTTAGTTGGACAAAGGGGATAAATTGGTTATCTTGATAGGTTGGTTGGAAGAGTAAAATAGTTATTTTTGATAAGCAATAGGAAGGTGCACATTAGAGCTTTATTTCCTTCTCTATTTTTCAATTTTGACACATCAATGAATTAAAAGTACAGTTGCCTTTTTGTTGCTTAGGAGAACAAGAGGGGTAATGAGGAAGAAAAAGAATTGCTTTCATATGACAATAGCTATTATAGATTAGGACCATAGGCAAGAAGGGAAAATATCATATGTGCCCCACATGCATATGCAATAATATGGACTAGCAACCCATATTGGACCTTTAAAAAAAAAAAGAATGGCCAGCTAGCATTATTTGCTGTTTGTTATATGAAAAAAAGTAAAGTTTGATAGAGTCCAAATTTTGCACATGTATCATTTAAGCAGTCTGAATAAAGATAAACTGATAATACATGTAAAAATGTGGACAAAATATGACAATTTTCGATAAATAAGCGCTCTAAATAGAAAGAAAATCATAAACATAGCTAAGACTATGGACCAAAATATGACTTTCCGATAAATATAAGCCATCCAGATTACTTCTTGTGTTCAAATCTGGGCCATCCAGTCTATACTATTCTATATAAGCCTCTCGGTACACGTGATATTTATCTCCATGACTTCTAAATGCATAACACATACCTGACTCTTGTTTCCTATGGACATTGAGTAATAGAGTATGATTGTTCTCTTTCTTTAATAAAATACTGGGCTCTTTAGGTGGGTTAGAGAATAAAAGTGGCTTTAAAGTTGGTCAAAAACAAAGGGCTCATTAACTTTGCGTGCCACCACTTAGCATCTCCCTTTAGAGACTCGCAATTGATGGATAAAACAATGCAAGATATATTTAATATTAATCATTGAAATATATTGATTCTTGAAAATATTTCAATAAAATATGATCTAAAAAATATTTCAATAAAATATGATTTAGAGAGAGAATTTAATGCATTTATCTTCACAATTGAATATTTTATTAATTAATAATAAATATGATAGTAAATATTATTTTTAATATATTATTAATTAACATGAATTCATTTGACATACAATTAAAATAGTAAAGTTCATTTAAAAAATAATTTAAACTCTATAAATAAAACTAATAAATAAATTTATGCAGTGTCTTACTAATGCTATTATCCAATATATTAGTTTAAGACATTATATCCTATTAATGTCTATATCTAATATATTAGTTCATTAAGGCATACTCAAGAAGCATTAACTTTATTATAAACAAAAGAGTGATAAGAATTTATATATATTGATCGATACCTAATTTCAGGGATAAGACATGGGAGAGAGAGTTAGGGGCGTAAGGTGAGATTAACACATATTTCCTTTCTTAACCCACATGTTCCCCATTAAAAATAGACATGACAAATAGTAACTTGAGTAAGAGGAATACAATAACTTGAGTTAGACGGATAAATTATCGTAAAAAAAATATGTATGTTTTTTTATTACGTTGAGGGTTGCGCATGGGAAATAATAATTTGAATATGTGAGAGAGAAATTATGTTTGATAAAAAATGCATGCTTATTAATGGGGATGTGCATTTTCAATAGGTCATGTGTTTTCTATTGACTTAAGAAGTATAAAATTTGTTTAAAAAGCATGAACATAATAAATAATTCAGATATACTATTTGTCATAAAAAAAGGCTAAATGCGACCAAAAGATTTTTAATATTATTTTAAATAAAAGAATCAAGATCTTCATAGTGCAAATGAAAAATATTAAGAAAAATTAGAGGAGATGGGATCACAACATATCAGTTATAAATGATTTTTAATAATTCAAAAGATACATGGCACAAATCAGGTTAGGAAAGGTGTAAGAGGGAGAGAGAAGAGAGAAAATAGTGTGCATGGGACGAAGGATTTATTAAAGAAGAAAAAAAATGGGACACTTAGGCATAAAAATAGATGGGGTATCCCTCTCACTTAATATATAATAGATACCACCAACCAATCATGACATCCACAAATTACAAGTAGAAATAAAAGCTACCAATTCATAGCATAATTGCTTGATCTGGATCGAAAATCAATAAGGCCATATATTGAGAACTGGTCTATTCTGTCAAGGAACTGGTCGGTTATCTAACAAAACTAGCTAATTAGTACTGGTCAATTGGGTCCGACCTTTTATTTTATTATTTTTAATTTCATTTTTTATTTTTTATTTTTTATTTTTTTTTGACTGAATCACTTGGTCGGATTGTTGATCTGGACCGACAATCTAGACCGGTTTTGTAGATGGGCCATCAAGGTCATTAATCCGAGGCAGACTTAAGTTTTTTTTAACAAAAAATATGGGAGAGTAGTTAAATTAAAGTGCAGTCTTTCTTTTTGGTATATAATTTGGTTTTAGATGCTAGTTTTGTGGCTTTATTACATGTAAATTGCTTAGTGTTGGTTCTTGTCGGAGGCTATGTAGCACTTGTTTTAGCATTATCGTCTCTCCTTGGGGCCTACATGCTAAAAATAGAATAATCCCCCAAAATGACACCATCCAATAATTACAATAGAAATTGTGAAAAGATAACTATGTTGACGTGGCACACGTACGCACTAACTTTTTATAAAATTCCAGCCAATACTTTGGTTGGTTAAATACGGTCATGGCCAAAATCTAAATCTATTTCTTAACTTTAATTAAATCAAATTGGAGCCCACTTTCAAATAGTGCCGAGAAATGTGGTTTTATTACTGAAAATATTTATAATCACTTTCAAATATATTTTTATTTTAAATTATAAAATTTGAAGCTTAAAAAATATTGTAGATCGAGCAGATCTATGAAAACTTAAAAATTAATGATCCAAAATGCGTTGCAAGATGCACTATTTCTAAAACTAGAAATCTATTTTTTTCTCATGTTCATGCATTTTGATGTTGAGATGATCAATTTGAGGATATTTAAGTACCAAAACAACCTCTTCTAATGAAATTTGGATGTGGGATCTAATTTGATTGTTTAGAGCCTCGGCTCTATATAAAATTTTTTCTTAATTAAAATATTACATTTATAAGGGAACCAAATATTAATAATAATAAAAAAATATTTTGAATAAAAAATGACCAAATATCTTAAATATATTTTAGTCAATACTTTTTATTGAAGATATTTTTTAGATTCTTATTTGGTTTCTTTTATAGATATTAATTTACACCCAAAGATTTAGATAATAGTAATGATCCTATAATAGGGTCTCGT